CGTCCTGTGGCGATGATCAGAATCGCGGTGCTTTTCGAGCATGTGTTAGACAACGCGAAAAGGAGAAGAAGGCAAAGAGAAACAGCACTGGCAAAACAAGCAACTTCGCTTCCAAACATAAGTTTGTTGTCTTTGTTGTAAAGCGACCGTTTGCCAAAGATACCCATCGGAGGGCAGGGGAGGAGTAGAAGTTTCCCTCAGAGGACAAGGAGACGATCCACCGCCGTCGTGCTTTGAAAGGCGTGCCTGCTGACTTGCCGCGGTACGGTGATGGCAGCAAGTCAATTACGAAACGACAACCCTTGCGATGCTGGCCAGCGATCGTGGTCGTTAATCCAGCGCCAACTGCACTGCCAAATTCACGGATAGGCAAAACGTCGTCATTCACGTCGTATCAAAAATCACAATCGTCATTTACTAATTTAGTTGTCACTGGGCGATCTCTGCTGATTGAAAGAGCTCGCATCAAAGCGACGTTCGACGACCATTGCTGTGTTGTACGCTTACGCCGTTTAAGTGGTTAGACGACCGTAGCGACGGTGAGACGATGATGGCGATGGCGATGGCCATCGCGTGCGAACACAGCATCCAGCCATTCAGCCAGCCGGTCAGCAGAGCAGTGACAAACGACGGCCTGCTATCCGTGATTGCCTCTGTGTGGAGAACACGCTCGTTCTTTCGACCTCTCTCGCAGAGCATAAGGAAAAATCGCTTTCTTCCGTTATACAATTCTCTCATACCTTCTGCCTTGATTATCAGTCATATGTGCTACCTTAATGAGTGATGCCATGCATTATGCTCCCGAATTACATATTTTTTAAGAACAATTTGTCCATCTAATAACTCGTTCGAATTCATCGACCTAAATGATGGAGACACGGTACAGTTGTCTCGTATACAGTCAGGCAACAACGCATCTGTACCGTATACAATAAGTCGTCCGATGAGCCTCAAACCAAGTCTTTAGCAAAAATAAGGCAAAAGCAAATAAAATATTAACCCCCTATATAGAAGACAGACGACATAACGCATAGGTTTATGCGACACCTCTGCGATCTTAGTGACATCAGTGTTATTTTCCGTCGAAATTTCCGGTTTTTATCAGCGAGGCCTGTCTGGACGCCCCCTTCTCTCCAGTTTCAACTGTCATCATGCTCGGTTCAATAGATGGAGGCCCACCGAATGAGAATCTTTTGATGTTAGGTAATAACATGTTCAAATTAAAGATATGAGACCGTTTTATAGTTGCAAAACAAGTCTATTCATCAGACAGGAACAAGAGTACATAAAAACTTAAACGTGTTGTTTCAGTAGAAGTTTCCAAATAATTGTACAAATATGACAAAACAACAAAAATCAGCAGAATGATTTAACAGCGAAAATAAAAAGGATATCGAGTAGTGCGGTAGAGACCATCACAAATGAATCGTGATCGTGTGAAAGAAAATCCGCTGAGAGAAAATGATAAAGATTGAGGCTCTTAACGCATTTTCGCTTTATCCATTACAACATTTCACTCTGCTATGTCACAAAAGTCGTGAATTTGAGATGCACCATACGACAACGCATTGTCGCTGCGCCACTATGCTGTATTAGCTATAAAATATGCTCTAAATGCATTAGCATGACAAATTACAGTCTATTAGTAATACTACATTGGTACATCATAGCATATAGAGTAAACTGTAGAATAGTATACTTGAGTATATTATACTCCAATATAATATATAATTAATCGCACTAAAGAATACCGGCTCTAATCTAATGCATGGGATAATACACTGGTAAT